CGGGAAATTCAAATCCCGGGCTTCATTTGCAACTCCGGTTGCCTACATTACCACCCTAGTTTGAACTAGGGTGGTAGTGTAGACATACCCTAGTAGAACAGAAGTGGGCTGTGCCCACGAAAGCTCAGGAGATTATCTACATGTTTTGTTAGTCTATAAAGTGCTACCAGACCATTTGTTGTTTTTCAAGTTTATCCTGTACAGACTAACTCAGCTACTCTCTGAAGCTAGCAGACCAGAACCAGGCATAAAGTAATAGAAAGGAAAGGACAGTGTTGTTTTCAGGGGGGGGGGGGCAGTAATTTTTCATGGGGGCCACTCCAAGATTTTGCTAAGGGGCCGAGGGCTGCACTTTTCCATGGAGGGGTTGTGGGGTCTGGGACAGAGTTTGGGTGCAGAAAGGAGTCAGAGTAGAGGGCAGGGGTGCAGGAGGTGGTGTCGGGTCCGACAGGGTGTCTGGGTGACATTGGGGGTTGTGATCTGGGGTAGAAGATTGGGGCATGGGGTCCAGTAGAAGGAGTCTGGCCTAGGGAGGATGTAGGAGGGGAGCAGGCTCTGGGAGGGAGTTGGAGGGTGGGAGGGGGTGGGGTGCCAGAGTCAATGGGAGAGGCTTCACGCACTGCCCCTGCCTCCAGCAAAATCTCTCAGCGCCCATTGGTTGGTTTCTGGCCAATGGGAGCTGAGAAATGATGCTCATTGCCCCCGCCCCCTAGTAAATCTCAGCTCCTATTGGGCCATTTCTGGCCAATAGGAGAGATTTTTCTGGGGGTGGGGCCAGCATGCTGAAGCCTCTCCCTCCCACCCACCTGCTCAGCCAGCCACAGGGAGCAGCCAGCTGCTTTGAGCGGCTGCTTCCTGCTGCAGGGCCCGGCTCAGGGAGGATCAAAAGGCTTTAGGGCCGGAACCTGGCAGCAGGTTGTGTCCTGTCCACCGCTGTGTTAGAGTAGATTGATGCCTTGAAGGAGGAGGGTTTTTCCAAAACTCTTGGGTACTTGTTTACCCTCTGGCTGGCTCATCTAGATAGACGCCAGCTGGCACAGCTCAGATCTCTAACTGAAGGATTTTTTTTTAAACAGGTGTGAAAAATGGACGTGTTTTATTTCCAAGACTGTATTTTTCACAAAGGAAGGAAATGAAGGCTGGTGAGGAGGGGCAGGGGGTGAGTGGCTTAGCGTTGGAAGGTGTATGGGGGAGAGGCTTAAAACAGGGGAGGACTCAGGGTGGAAGAAGGAGGGGCAGAAATCCAGGCAGGGTAGAAGTACAGGACTCAAGCCAGGAGGCTGGGGGCTGTTGGGGAGAGGGTGGGGTGGAAAAATACGATCATTGCAATTAAGCATGTATTTTTATGCATTTTCCAAAATAATCACTTAAAGACCCGAGCAGTGCCGCGTACATCTGCTCGTTCCTTATCTACGTTCCCTGACCTTTCACCGAGTCCTGCTACGCTCATGGGTCAGCTGAGATCATGAAGCGGTGAGTTCCGCAGGCTAATTGTGAATGTGCATCAGTTTTCAATATGCTGTCGCTGCATGTCACCACTTGGCAGACGGACACATCCGGACTGATAAAGCTACACAATCTGCTGACTTACCGCACAACGCCAGCATTAGCACAGCCACAGCCAAGAGGAGATTCCCAGCCCCCAGAGCAATCTGGGGCCAACCCAGGCACCGACGGGGACCTGCAGGGACACACAAGCAGAGCCAGATTGAGTGATGGCCCAGCCACTCTAGATCCTGGCCTCCGGCCCCAGCTCCAGGAGTCAGGTGATCGTACCAGGGTCTTGCTGTCACTTACAGGAGAGAGGTTGTTTCGAGCTGACACAACTGAGGGGACAGTCTGGAAATGTGACCCCAGTGTTACTGACACACCAACACTTCCTGGGTCTGCACACAGCCTGCCCCATTGGCTCTGAGACAAGCGATTTGCCTTGAGTGTGACTGGTAAGAACATACAAACAGCCAGGCTGGGTCAGACCAAAGGTCCCTCCAGCCCTGTGTCCTGTCGGCCGACAGTGGCCAGTGCCAGGTATCCCAGAGGGAGTGAACAGAACACGGAATACGTGACCCTTCCCTTTTCACCCAACTCCAGACAAACAGAGGCTAGGGTCACCCTCCCTGCCGAGCCTGGCTAATAGCCATTGATGGACCTAACCTCTGTGAATCTATCGAGCTCTTTTTTAAACCCTCTTCAAGTCCTAACCTTCACCACATCCTCTGGCAAGGAGTTCCACAGATTGACTGTGCACCTCATGACAAAAAACTTCCTTTTGTTCGTTTTAAACCTGCTGCCTATAGACCCCTAGTTCTTATATCTTGGGAACAAGTAAATAACTTTTCCTTATTCACTTTCTCCACACCACTCATGATTTTATAGACCTCTACCGATCCCCCCTTAATCTCCTCTTTTCTAAACTGAAAAGTCTCGGTCTTTTTAATCTCTCTTCCAATGAAACCTGTTCCAAACCCTGAATCATTTTTGTTGCCTTTTTCTGAACCTTTTCCATTGCCAAAGTATCTTTTTTTGAGATGAGGCAACCCCATCTGGACGCAGTATTCAAGACGTGGGTGTCCCATGGTTTTATATAAAGTCAACAAGATATTTTCTGTCTTATTCTCTATCCCATTTTAATGACTCCTAACATTCCGTTGGCTTTTTTGACTGCGCTGCACACGGAGTGGATGTTTTCAGAGAACGATCCACAAGGACTCCCAGATTTTGCTCTTGAGTAGCCAAATTAGTCCCCATCATATTGCATGTGTAGTTGGAATTACTTTTTCCAATGTGCGTAACTCTACAATTGTTCACGTTCTCCCTCCCCTCCCCCAGTGGAGGCTCCATCGTCTGTACCTCTCCCCGTGGCACTAACCCACCCCGTAATACAACCACACGGCCAGACTCTGCCGCCCCCTGGCCCATCTCTGGGGGGCCTGCCCCACCTTGTCCCTGCTGCCGGGACACAGAACTGCAGGTGAGGAGCAAGGGGAGAAATCACTACCTGGTTTCCTGGCTGGGGACGGGCTGCCCGAGTGGCCCCGCTTGGGCCGCAGGTTCAAGGCCGTGTAGCCCTCCTCGTCCTCCATTGTGCCCATGAGTGACAGGAAGCAGCCAAGGTGGGGGCAGGAGCCGGGGGGCAGGGCCTGGGTGTGAGATTGCACAGGAAGCTGAGAGGCTGGGCTGCAGACCTGTGGTTCGTGGGGCAATGGTCAGAGGTTCGGGCCTGAATTTCCTCTCTCTGCTCTGGTGGATGTTGACTCAGTCACGCGAAAGCTCCCAGCCAGCCACAGACCCCTTG